AATAAAAATGAAAAAAAGTAACATTATTTCTCAGCCAACCATTCATTTGCGTTTTGAGTAGCTAATATTTTATAGTCAGCCAGATATTGCGCAATTACAGAAAAAAGAATTAATATATCAGAGCATGTTGACGAGTATTGGTGGAGTAAGAGAAGCAGTACACTTCTTACATATCCGTGTTCGTATGGAAAAGTAGCTTATGTCGAAAGGCCGACTTTAGTATAATGCGGCATTCCCTTTATTTTTTAAACGACAAGGAATTTTTTGATCAGACTTAAAAAGAATATTGACTTGCTAGTATCGGAACTATTTCTTGCACGTTTGTTTGCTAAAAGTTGTTTAACGGCTTAGCGCCCGTAAGTCATTCGCAATCGTATGCTGCGAATGACGATTTATACTAAAGCCAGCCTTTCGACATAAGCTACTTTTCCATACGAACACAGATATGTATGTACCATACCCAACGCATAAAAGAGCCGAAAACCAAAAGACATAAAAGGTTTGAGAAACTAAATAAAAAATCTTAATGCAAAAGTTGGTCTTTGAAAAATATCTGCAATTTATGTAGCGCGAAAATTTAGTCATTTGATAATTCTGCACGCAGCTGACATTTTTTTATACACTTAGTAAAACTTTTTTTTTGCCATTTTAGTCAGTTTAGTCAGCCCAGTGGAAACCGGAAATGAGATTTGGTTTTGTGAATCCATTCGCTTTATTCAGTTCGCTTCAACCTGGGCTTTGGAGCAGAGATTTTTTTGTCATCGCTCCGCTCCGGTATTTCATTTCGCTCCGATTTCCTCTCTGAGCTCCGTACCCGCTAATAGATTTTTTTTTTAATCGACTTCAAAAAAAGAAGTTATTAATTCGCCGGAATATTTTTTTCTATGTATGTTATCGTATACCTTTGGACCACGTTAACCGATTTCGATGATTCGCAGGGTGGTTCCATACTAACTTGGTTTAGATCCGATCATTGGTTCATGAAAAAATTAACGGTAATCCTAAATTTTTATATGAGAATTAAAGTCACTTGTGTTTGTTGCTTAAAAACTACTTGTTATTAATTTATTTACTAAAATATCGAGCCCAAATCGCCAAAAAACGTAAGCGAAATTTTTTTTAATTTGTTTTTTTTTTTTTGGTGCATTTCTTTAGATGCTCTAGATGCACTTTTACATCCAAACGAAAATTTAAAAAAACAAATTTTGCTTACGTTTTTTTGGCGGTTAGGGCTCCATATATGAATGAAGTCATCTCCCTGGACAGGAAGTTCAGAGAAGTTCACTTGGCTACTTGTGATCTAATCTTTAACAGATGGGCTGACAGTTGGCTAAGCTGAGGCTAGAAAAAACTTCGGCATATAAAGTTGCAGTATTTCTGGCCGGCGCACGACCGCGGCTAGCTGGCTAAGACCCAACTCTATTCTTAAGTTAATTCTAAACGTGACCAAACATTTTGTAACCAAAAATTTAAAATTTTTATTAAAAAAAACTGAACCTTTCTTTACTGGTAAAAAAAAAATTTTTCTAGAGGCGCAGATTAGACATAGATAATCCATTATTTTGATCCATGGGTACAAAAATATCAATGAATTGGATATAAAAATTAATAATCAGCCAAATAGTCTGCTTCTCGGGTAACATATGTAGACTCACGTACACAAACATACACACACACATATGTATAAATATGCCCACACATTTGTTTGCAGGCAGCTTGTTTGAGGAAGTGGGCTGTGACCGTCAGCCCACCATGCAATTGATTTAAACACACACATACATATGTACATAAGCATATGTATGTATATGTAAGCATGCATAGTCAATACGGTAAGCGTCATTCAAGCACACACATACTAAAAAATACTCATTCTATACATTTTTCATCATACCGCCATCCATCTTACCCATGCAACCATTCTTAACGGCAACTCGCACCATTTTAATTGGATTTTAATGGACTCGCGCCTTTTTGCACTGAAACGTGCCGCGTATTTTTACCATTTTAAGTGAGTTACATTCACCACTTGACCAGCGTGATAGCGCAAAGCTTTTATTACCATTAGTTGTTCTCATAAGTCTGATTGTAATGTGTGGCACTACGCTGTCATACAAATAAACATACAACAAAGAAAAAAGGAAGCACTTCATGCACTCATACACACCTACATGTATTTCAATTTAAATTTCTTTGTTGGATATATTTCACTCATCTAATAACTTGCAGTTGCAGTTAATGGAAAAATAAATTGAAATAACTTTGGCTCGTTCCTGTCATCCCAATTCCCCCATCACGAAGTCAAACTGTGGCAATGGCAGGCATCCCGGCGGATTGGTCACAAATATTAGCTTGCTGTTGCATTTATGTACTGCTGTCACATAGTCGAACTCTTCGCTTAAGCGAAGTTATATAATGCAAGTGCTTAAAAGGCGCTTTTGCCATTGATTTAGTGATTCATATTGCCAGAAATGGCCATACGGTAAGTTTTTATGGTTACTGTTTGGCCTCAAAACACTTGGAAACCTGACTGTTTTCTATGGTCAGCAATTAAGCTGTTAATTAGTGGAAATATTGTCATAAATAAAGATATTTATTAACTAAAATAACTGAATACGGAGGAAATTTTTTTTATAAAATTTTTTTTTCGATAATAATTTAAACACTCAAGCACAATTTATTAAAACATATGTATAGTAAAATGTTCACTTGAACTTCTTATTGCGTAGGTGTAGCCATAAAAAGCAAATCGTTTTTTGATTTAAAATTTTTCGATTCTTCAGCATTATGAAGTTTTTGTGGAATTTTTGCAGCCGATTTCATGCGAGGAGCTTCATTCCGACTCGTTCAGTGTGAACACCAACAGCTTCGCAGAGCATAGACTCGCTTTCTATATATATAGTACATTTACTTTCCGCACTCAATTTGAAAAAATTGCCTGAATACGCATTTGCAGCAACTTCAAAATAAGACTTTCTTCTCATAGAAAAAAAAGTTATGGCACAAACGTTGTTAGTGCATAGATATGCCGCTAAGATACACAAAAAAACTCAATCTTTTAATTTTGGCCCTAAAATTGCCACGTCCATTTCTAGAAGATTCTTCGATTTAAAAAAATTACGGAACAAATGTTGTTAACCAAGGGATAATCTACAGAAATCCACAATTAAATCTGCGTTTTGTTATTTTTAGTCCTAAAACTGCCACGCCGATTTCTAAAGGGGGTTTTTTTTTATCTTAAACAAAACTCTTTCCAAAGAAACATTTTTACTAATTGGGTATTCTCCCGGAATCTGCAATAGATTTGCATTTTCGCAATAACACCCCTTTTTAACGCTTGCTACACATAAGTACATACATACATACATACGTAGGTGTTGGTGATCAAACTTAGGGTGTCTGTTTGAACTCTCGTTTCGATCGGGAATTATCACTAGCAAATTTTATCCAAAGCGATTTCCTGGTCATAAAATTCAGCATTTTTCCAACCCTGATATATTTTTAGCAATAATAATAACTTTATGAGGTTAATTTTAAAGAAATATTTAATTTCAGTTTTTTTTCTATTCTTTCAGATTTCTACAAAGAAGTTTATAAAGCAGTTAAGAAAGGAATTCGTACAGCAAAAATTCAAAACTATTCTGATTATATAAGTATGTACAAAGATATGTGTTGATATGTGCATTTATCTCCACAACTGTATGATTGTTGGTAAATACTCGTGGTTCATTAGTTCCAAGCCAACTTGACAGCCTAAGCCCCGCTGATATCAAATTACAAAAGCCTCACCAACAACGGTGTGACATTCAATTCGGTGCAATGAAGCGTAAACATTCCAACAGGCAGCGATTTATGAATTTTTTCACGGCAAAGCCCTTACAAGCTAGTGCACAGAGTTGAGTAGATAAATGCTGCAGCAACAAGGAGTACAGGAAGTGAATGCCAGCAGCGAAAAATGGTGAAAGAATGAAGCAAAGAAAGTTGTGCGGTGACTTTGTGCGGGCACATGTAGGCACATATTCATGTACAAGCGTATATATATTTGTACATATATGTATGTATATGGCTAAGTATGTTACATTTTTTTATTCTATCAGTAATGAAGTTAACTTGAATATATATTTCTTCTTAGCTATTGATTTCTATGTATATTCATAGCTATAAACATACATACCCTTGTGGTCAGCTGACTAAGTCAAGCGACATTTTGAAAAGTTTTGGCAATTTTTCTTTTGTTTATTTAAAGTTTATATTTTTTATATAAAAGTCTGGCACTTTACCTAACAAGCCCCACATAAGTTCACATTTCGAACTTCGCACAAAAATTATGAAAACTCAAAAAACTTAAACATTTGCACAGGAAAATTTTAAACTTTTCATTCAGAATTTTAAGAAAAATTTTGGGTGCGCAGTTTTGCAGCTCATCAAATTTGAGTCGGTCATATAAAATATGCTCGACAATTTCGTTTGTATGGGAGAAAATGCCTAGCACAAAAAAATATTAAAAATCAACGCGATTTTCTAGCGGCTTAAAATTGCATTGCATTTTGACCTACTTAAATTTAATGAGCTACAAAACTTCATACCCAAAATTTTTCTAAAAATTCTCAGTAAAATGTTTAAAATTTTTGAGTGCAAATGTTAGAAATTGTTGAATTTCCATAATTTGTGTACGCTGGTTAGGTAAATTGCTAAACTTTCATAAACAAAAGTATAAGCATTAAATAAACAAAAGAAAAAATAGCCAAAACTAGTCAAAATGTCACTTGACTTAATCAGCTGACGACAAGTGTATATATGTATAAATGCACACAGGTATGTGCGTTCCTGCGGCATGTCAGTTATGTGTCAACACCAATGTTTAGTTGACAGCATTTAATGAATTACACTTAACATAACTATTCATAAGCTACAATGCTACGTTTACGCAGGAATGTGAAGTGTAGTGAAGTAAATAAATAAATATTTATGTACATTTGTATGTATTACTCGTTTGTACTTACCGATGCGACAATGGTTAGATAGTAACGTTGCACCTTCTCGTAATCCAACGTCTTGGCTATAGTCACCTGCGGATAAAAAAGTATTTGATTGTTATTTTTCCATTAAAAAGACATAGGTTATCTACTTGATTTATTTATTTATGTCGCAACAATTATATCCAATACAATACCCATACAGATGGTATTCCTATCAATCATGACGATCGGGGTGTGTTTGGGCGCTGCGCCATATCGAAACGAATATTTCGCCAATAATAAATAGATATCGGAAAAAATTACAAAAAAAATAAAAAACTACACATGTACGTATAAATATAAAATTCTACGATTAGCTATTTCAATATTTGTTGTTTGCCATGCAATTTGATTGATTGCGCCGATTATTGACAATGAATGACAGTGGAAGGCCACACCAGCATACGAGTATGCAGCTATTCGTATGCACACAGTTGCTTGGCCTATCAAAGATGCAGATAAATTTTGCCAAATGATTGGGGCCACCAACGCAACACGACTACGACTTTATAAAATTGCATACACATGCATATATATGTATATATGGGGCGTTCCATACCAAAGTGGACGTGGTTCATGCTTCAAGTGTTTGATTTGTTTCAAATTTTTAGGGTTGATGGACAAACATAAATAGTAAATAACTATGAAGTTTGAGCTTGATTAATACATTTTTAAAAACTCTACTGCCATTAGAAAAAAGTGCAAAAAAGCCGTCAGCATAAAAAAAAAATTAAAAATCAACTCACTTTGGCAGTAGCTTAAAACTTGCACTTTATTATACTAAAATTTAATGGATGACAAAACTGCATACTCCCAAAATTTCTAAAAGAAATTAAAAAAATTTGTAAAAAAAAATCATAACTCAAATTATTGCAGAGTGCACCCCGAAATACTAAATTTAATTATTGCGCAACACTCAGAGCTACCAGTTTGATTTTTTCAAATTTTTTTGAAATGGCATATTCTCAAAAATTAATTATTTTTATCAAAAAATTTGTATGTGGAAAATTTTTTAAGAAAAAAAAAATTTTTCAAATATTTGTTTTCACAGATAATTTTGATGTGTGTATGTGTGGTTTTTTCAAATTTTTTCCTCGCCCGTTCTCGAGATATTTGGAAAATTATTAAATCGATTTGTTTTTGTTTTTGTGCTGTAAAGTTTTTAAGAATGTATTAATCCAGTTCAATTTTCATATTTGTTTATTATTTATGTTTATCCATCAACCCTAAAAAACACCTGAATCATGGGCGTAGCCAGGTAGGGGCAGGGGGGGGGGGGGGCCCGGGCCCCCCCTAACTTTCAAATTTTTGCCTAGATATTCAAAAATACTACCACGAAATGCTTGCTTGATAATTTCGGCCCCCCCCTAAATTTCAAGGTTTTTCCTATATATATACTGTATAACAAATTATACTCCCAACGCTAACTAAATAATTAGTAAATTGATATGAAAAGTAGATATGTGGATCATCCGGTTCTGTATCAAGTTATTATCTCTAACTTCAAAGCACTTCCATTTTAAAAGGGTAAAAACCTGGCTGCAGTCGACAATGAGCAAAAATTTATTGAACGGAAACTATAAATAAATTTATAGTTCAATTGTTTATTACTTTGTCTTTAGGTTTGTGTCTTTACTAAGCGGTTGGGTGAACAGCCAAGACGTTTACTTCCAAAGTGTGACAAAACAAAATCAAGTAATATATTTAGCATAAATAAATATACCAGCCTAAAAAATCTGCGTACTCAAAATGTTCAATACGCCCTCATACTGATACATACATACATATGTATGTACATCATTTAACGTTTTGTCCGGCTATTTGGTTTATTATACAGGTATGTAGAGCGAATTTAAAAAAATTCATCAGGGTTTAGTTGAGATATTCGTTTTTGGCCACTATGTTTTGTACATTTCCCAGTACTGCAAAGCTTTTGACGGCCATTCACCTGGGAGTGGCCAGAAGTGATTCGTGTGCTTACGGTTCAAATCGCAGCTAACTACGTCCGGATATTTATATCCATGAATACTCTGGGTAGCGACCGAACGCTAGTTTGGGAGCGAGGTAAAGTGGGAGGGCGGAACACCCCGCGTGCGCTGGGGATTAATCGGGATGGTGCCTCTGCCCGGCTGGTTGAAGTCCTAGGGAAAATAAAGGCTAACATCAGCTCCATCCACGAAATGCGATGGACGGGGCGAGGAAGGTAAGCGTGAGCCTTGCGACGTCTACTACAGTTGCCACGTAAAGGAGTGCAATTCGGTGTTGGATTTGTGGTGGGAGAGAGACCGGCGTTCACTCTAGTGGACGAAAGTCTAGCCACAATCCGCATCAAAGCGAGTTCTTCAACATCTCATTCACATGTGCCAATGCCCCGATGGAAGAGAAGGACGAGGCATCCAAGGCTCTCTTAGCTTAGAGCGTACATATTAGCGCTGCCCCCGACACGTATAAAAATCGTGCTTGGCCATTTAAATGCCAAGGTGGGCAACGAAGGGATCTTTGGTGCCAGTGTCGAAAAAATCAGCCTCCACATAGAAACGGCGGGCTGAGGATGATCCACTTCGCCGGGGCCCGAAGCTTGGCAGTATGTATTACTGGGTTCTAGCATAAAAACATCCATAAAGCTATTCTCATTTTCGTTGTTGGTGTTTCCGACAGGGTAGGAGTGTGATGTATTGTGGAACGATTTTCCGTCGTCCCTTGTCAAATTTGGTTTGGAGACAAACCGGTTTCGGCGTTGTTCCATCTTCAGTGTCATTTTTCGTTCTCTCAAGCTACATGCATGTCTCCACATCGAAAAACGGGAAACCAAATCGAGCATGTTGTGATAGACGGAAGACATGCTTCCATATTTTAGATATACATACGTACACTCCGAGGGCCAAACATCGACTCGCACTACTATATTGATGCATCCAATATACGACCTAACCTCGGAGAAGCAAAAAAAGGGCCCCCAACAATGCAGGGAAAGTTCAACGTCGAAAAGCTGCAATCAAAACAGACGGCCAATGGATTCGGCGCTCGACCCTCACACCTGCTGTGAGAGAGCACTCTTCAACAAACCGACTTGCGCGAGCAGTGGAACCACATTTCCCGCTAATTACTGGTACGATCACGAGTGTGAGAAAATGCTTGAAATGCTGTCCGACAAAAAAAACACCCGAAATTTTTAGCAGAGAGTTGAGCGACTTACGGAAGGTTTCAAGACTCTTATATGAACAACCATGGCGACCTAGTGACCGATGTCCAGAACGTACTCAGATTATGGAGGGAACACTTTTCGACCCTTTTGAATAGCGGAAGCACTTCGAGGTCCCAGTCGATGACGATGGAGTCGATATCCCAGCGCCTGACTATGAAGAAAAGTGCCAAAGCTGTTTGAGCTGACGGCCTGTCAGCTGAGCTATTTAATTACGATGGCAAGGAGGTAATAAGGTGCATGCCCGACGACTGGAATTCAAGTGCGCTCTGCCCAATCCACAAGAAAGGCAACCCCGCCATGCGTACCAACTACCGCGGGATCAGCCTTCTAAGCATAGGTTGCAAGGTCTTATCGAATGTATTGTCCACCATAGACCAGGTATTCACAGTACGCCGAATCTTGGAAAAGACCCGCAAGAAAATGATCCGCACTCACCACCTATTTGTCGACTTTAAAGCCGCTTTCGACAGTACTTAAAGGTATATGCTGCTATGTCTGTCATACGCCTGTGAAAAATGACGTTGAGTAATACCACCAGCTCTGCTCTGTTACCTTTCGCCGCCAGACGGGGTTTCAGACAGGGCGGCTCTCTTTCATGTGGCTTCTTTAATCTGATGTTGGAGAAGATAATAAGATCTTCAGAACTGAACCGCTTAGGAACAATTTACTACAAGAGCGTACAATTGCTGGCTTATGCCGATGACACTGACATCATCGGTAAGAAAAACCGCGAAGTCTGTCCTGACTTTTCCAAGTTGGACAAGGAAGCAAAGCGAATGGGTCTGGTGGTAAACGACGACAAGACGAAGTATCTCCTGTCATCAAACAAACAATCAGCACATTCGCGCCTGGCACCCACGTCACTTTTGACAGTTATAATTTTGAGGAAGTAGAGAATTTCGTTTACTTGGGAACCAGCATTAACACCTGTAATAATGTCAGCATGGAAATCCAACGCAGAATCGCTCGTGCCAACAAGTGCTGCTTTGGACTGAGTAGGCAATTCAGGAGTAAAGTCCTCTCTCGACGTACGAAAACCACAGTATAAATCACTCATCATGCCCGTGCTGGTATGTGGCGTATTAAAATACAGCGGCTCAACTGGCTTGATCATGTCGTTCGAATGGACACCGACGCCCCAGCTCTGAAAGTATTCTGGCTTCACTTGGCATTTCTAATAGGCGTCAGTTGGTCAAAATCGCTTTGGCGGTTACAGCGCCAAAAAGGAAGAAGAGGAAGAGAATAGATCTATAACCTTATCAGTCACACAGTGTTATAATCCCGACGAAATCCTTGATGGTGGTACCGGGAGGGGAACGGTACATGACGGTAGGAATTTTAGTTTGAGTTAAAGTCTCACACGGAAGGGGTTAGGCTTTCGATGCTTCCTCCTCGTAAAATAAACATGCTCAGTAAAAAGTTAACAATTTAAATCGACGAATAGTTTTATATCAACTTTTGTGAACTTCTGTGTATTTGTTTTTTGTACAACATATTTACCTTTATTGGTTACAATAATTTTAAGCTATAATAAAACAAATTTTAGTACATAAGTAAGTTATTGGTTTTGAATTTTTTATTTTGTATGGGCCCCCCCCTAAATTTCGTTCTGGCTACGCCCATGACCTGAATTATGAACCCCGTCCATTTTCGGATGGAGCGCCCCATAAATTTATATACATATGCGTGTACACAAGCACATGCCTTTTGTGCCTTTGTTGTTGTTGTTTTTGTTCAGTGATATTTGCATTGCATTTTGAGATTTGTTCAGAAGTTCATCGATAGAAATTTGACAAGATTTATTGCTCGAATTTACAAGTCTTACTCTGCGAAGTGCTGAAGTTTTGCTTATCTTAGATGGTTTTAGTTTGAATCAATTTAAACCTATTTAATATCTTCATATCGATTAAGAACAATTTGGTTTTCAATAAATAACGTTGAATGTAATTTTTTTTTAAATACATTTAGAGGCAAATGAACAATGGTGAGTTTAACTCGTGTCTAATGAGACTATATGTATGTACGAATGTATGTATGTCTTTAAAAATTAATTAAAAATCATAATTTACTTGGCTTACTGGCTAAGTTGATTGACTCGATTTTTCCAAACCGATTTCAACTGTTGTTTTTTTTTTTAATTTTTTGGGGCCATTTTTTTGAAACCTTGATTTTTCCATTTTCGATGTTTACAATCGCATAAGCTAGGGTTTCATCTAGTTTATTTATATACCTGAAACTAAAAATTCTTTTTCGAAATTCATAAACACTATATCAAAATATTGTTATTTGTGAGAGAAAAATACACACGTATTTTTTATTTTGGAAAAAAAAATGTTTGGAGATCGCGCTAGACGGTTTTTTATAAAAACGCTGACGTTTTAAATTTTGTTATTTTCGTGACATGTTATAGGGCAGCTAAAAATGTTGTTTTTACATGTAACTAGTCAGATATTATCGGGGTATATTCCCTTAATTACATACCTATCATGGACAGTTAGAATGGGCCTAGTGCCCGAAAATATGCTTTCGAAAAGAGACTGATAAAATTAAAACGTTGATACTGAACGTTTTAAGTATTGTCATGTCGTTACCAGGATAACCTCCTGGGGTCGCTGATTACGAATCTGATAGTTCCGTTAATGGTTATTTTGGTCATTAGTTTGACGAGGAAAACACAAGTTTTACACTTAACAATATCAAATTGAGGCCAGTATAGTCATTTTGGTTTCAATAGCAACGAAAACTATCTATATCTATATATATTAGACTGCATCACCATACAAAAAAAAATCGATACTATTTTTCCACTGAAATTATAAAATCTATTATATTTTAAGACGTCCACCAAAATATTTCGGAAAAATATTAAGATCTAAATGAGCTGGACCGATTTGAAAATACCTCCAAAAATGGAGTTTTTGATGAATAAAAATAGTTTCTTAAAGATTTTTTTTGAAAAAATCCCCTCAAATGACAAAATGGTTTAAGCTTAAAATATTTACATAAAAATATTAAAAAAAAATTTAAAAAAAATTTGAACGGAATCGTAATGATGAGATTTTTGATGCTGTTTTTTAACTTGAATAACTGAACCTAAACTCCTCCGATTTAGACTTAAGAGGTGTCACTGGAAAGGTATTTTCTCATCCTTTTTGTTTCTTTGATAATAAACTCATTAAAAGGATGAAAAAGAAAGGTAGGATGAACGAACGTATTCTAAGTTGAATTAAGTTGTGTTGGTATTCGAAAAAACAAGATGGGACACGAAAGACGCTTTTTTTGGCCAGAAATAAAAACAGTGTGAAAATACCTTTCTACTGAGATCCCATAAGTTAAAATCAGAACATTTCTGGCCCAGTTATTCAAGTTTTTCTTAAATCAATCTTTGAAAAAGTAAAAAAAAACAGCATCAAAAATCTCACTCTTACGATTCCGTTGAAAAGATTTTTAAATATTTTTATGCAGATTTTTTAAGCTTAATCTAATTTGTCATCTGAGAGGACTTTATTCAAAAAGTCCTTTAAGAAACTATTTTTATTCATAAAAAACTTCATTTTTGGAGGTATTTTCAAATCGGTCCAGCTCGCTTAAATCTTAATATTTTTCCGAAATATTTTGGTGGACGTCTTAAAATATAATAAGTTTTGTAATCCCGGCGGAAAAACCGCAACTTTTTTTGGTGATGCAGTCTATAAAACGCGAGGAGAGTCTTTTCCACGTCATCAGATCTGCACCGTTCGTTCGATTTTCAAAAATTGAGTATCAAGTTAACGGGACTGGGCTTTAAATGATCAATAAGACTTTACCCTTTTTAAAAGGGTTGCCACTTGTTAAAAAACTGAGTTAAAATTATTTAATAACTAATACCATTAGATCCGCATCGTTCGTTCGATATCCAGAAGTGAGTTGTCAAATTAAAGGGCTTGGCATTTAGATGTGCAATAAAGTTTAATTTTTCAAAAAGGATTGCCATCTTTTGAAAAATTTAATTCAATTTATTTAAAATAATAAATCAACTATTTCTATATGGATCTCGAAATAAAGATGGTTTTGAAAAGCCTTTATTTATTAACTACATGTATGGGGGTTGCCACCTGTTTAAAAAATTAATTTCAATTTGAATTAAGATAATAGAGACTATATACGTATCACCAAATGGGTGCCAGACGAAACAGGTTTGGGGTAGTAGTTGAAAATATTTTACAGAAGGGTGCCACCTGTTTAAGAGTCGAATTTAGTTTAGCTATACACAAGTTATATGAAATATTAAAATATGCGTGTCAAACAGTCGAGTGTAAAGAAATCTTTAGTGCGAACGTACAGAAATTTTTGTGGTGTTTGAAGAGTATTGCCACGTGTTGAGAAAGGTAGATTCAATTTATTTAATAAGTTAAGTGAACTATTAAAAGTTGGCTATCAAGCGAAATGGGTTTGAAAAGGATTTATTTCAGAACTGTGTTCGAAAGAAATTTTTCTATAAATCTCTCGCATGTGGCATGAAGTTTGATTAAGGTTTGTCAATAATGCCACTAGGCTTCAATTGCTTTGCCTAGATCACTGAAATTTCGCAGAGCCACATTGAACACGTACGGCGCACTGAATTGCTCTTTTATGAATGCCGCTAAATTTTCTGACGTTGAAGTGCTAAGCCAGAGCTTTCTACCTAAAGGACAAAGTTTGATTTTAGTCCCCGCTCGTTTTTGATTGAACTACATTTCAAGTTCCGTTGTGCTTTGCTGAGTTCTAGTGGAATATCGGCCAGTATTAGTGCCCAGAGCAGCCGAGATAGAACTTCTCATTGAGATGTAATCAATTTGCATAGCGGGATGGTGTTCGGGTCAGGTCCATATTAACTGCACTGCGACTAAGATATCTATTGTGCCTTCAACCGTGCACAGTACCTCATCTAAACCCATGTGGTCAGACACTCAAGTCTTTACAAGAGATTGGGGGGATTACTTTGATTGTTAAGTTGTTGAACGCTCTCTCTTTTTAGAGGATGGTAGTAACGGATGAATGGATTTTCCTTTGTAAAAAGAACTTCGTGTAGATTTGTCTCCGTTAACGTGTTCTTAATATTTGCACGCTGAGCTGTGAGTAGTTTGCAACTTTCCAAAAAAGTCCCGAGACCGAATCGCGACATTATATATTGAGATCGCTGCCTACAATAGCAAGTGCGATTTTTCTGTATTGTGTAGAAAACATTCGATTACAAATGCCAGGATACGGCCCTAAAGTATATGCCTAACCTTGTATTTATATAGCTTAGAGTCAGCACTTATGTTCTCATGAAAATTGCTCGATGCCAGGCTTAAAGCTAAGGATTAGTTGGTCTGAAAGGTAGTACGATGACAGTAGTAGAACACTTTCTGGACGCATTGTCAATATATCATCACTCTGCGGCGATTTTAAGGTTAAAGTTTGTCAAGAGGGCTGTAATGTTCTTCAATGTGGCTCCTAGTTTTCACAGATTAGTTGGATAATTTTCTCTTATTTTCCCTGGAAACGCTATGCACCTCAATTCACTGTGAAAAATAACGCAGTTGCTAGCTAGTCTAACTTAACTTAAACACTTTGCAGTAAATGACAATAACATTTTTGGTGAGGCGTTCATAAACTTAATAAGAGAATGACAAAGTAAATATTTGCAACCATTTTCGGTATAATAGTGTGTAGTTTCTTTCAATAAATTTTTATCTCATCAATATATAATTTTAACTGCAGCATCCGCTATAGTTCTCCACATCATAACTTTCTCACACACACTCACCTGCCCTTGATGCGGAAAGGAAATTACGAATATGCCATAACCATCGGCAATTGTCATCTTCTCGTCTTCGGTTGTATTCGTATTGCCTTCAACAATAAAATACTCAACGAGTCCATTAACACCAGCATCCTTGTCCAGCGCTTGTATGTGGCGGAAGATTGTTGTGCCAACTGGAGTGCTCTGCAAAGAACAAACAAGTAAAATATAAAAACGAAATGGATTAACAAAGAGATACAAAGAAACGGAATTAAGTAAATGGAAATGTATGAAGCTAAGCATAAAAACTAAGTCGAGAGAGGAAGAGAGAAAAAAATAAATAAAAATGCAATGAATATAAATAGTAAATAATGGAAAAAATGTTGTGCAAATAAAATAAATTTCATTTAAGAAAATCGCAATGAATGCAACAAACGAGATTCTGACAGGAAAATACCTAAAAATGGTAAAGTGATGGTTGTATACATGCGCTGGCAATAGTAAGAGCAACAATAACAACAACAACAGCAAAACTTACCAATGTCAGCAACACTATTGAACATACGCTCTGCAGTCACAGCTGCCTGCGCAAATATGTATGTACCCTGCAGGGAAACCGCTGACTAGTGAATCAAATTTCTAGTACCGTAGTAGGTCTTTATCGCCAAAAAGGAACTGGTCCGATAGGAACTAGATACCCACTAGACCAAAATCGGCGAAAAGTGGTACTTTTAAAAAACTAATTTTTTTTCAGTTTTTTTCACTAGAAATCTATATCTAAAGTGACGAATTTAGAAATGGTTCGGAACTATCGAATAAGGGATGCAGTGGGGGGCTTGTTTACTTTACATAGATATGTGTTCGGCGGCTTTTTCTTTCAAATACGCTTCTATTCTGTGCTTCGCAGATGCTTTTTCATAGCTTGGTAATACAAAACTAAAATTTGTGTTAACATTTCAACATCTTGGGACAGTCTGGAATCTAAGAAATAACAGCGAGTACCTCTGCAAACTCAGCTACAGCTAAAGATATGTAAACGTACATTTCTTACAATCATTCAAACAAAGTTAGTTTCAAATAGAAAACACATTTCTTCCAAAATAACTTAAAACCGCACACACGGAAAAACCAAAAAGATTTAAAAATCACGATACTTTTTTCTTTCGTCTGTCGATTTTAGAACTGGTTCGGAACAATAGAATTTAGAACTAGTTCGGAACTATCGAAAAAGGGATGCAGCGGGGGGCAATTGACACTTCCTAGGACTCGCCATGTTAAATTCGCCAGTTGCTTGAATGCAAAAGAGATTTATCGCGAACCAGTACTGGGTCTAAATGTGCTAGAAGCGCACCAGTTCAGAACTAGAGATTTTCCCCACAGGGTAGGTACATACATATGTATGTAAGTATATGCATGTGAGTGTAGTGGCTTTAGCGCACTTGCGAGTTGCGAGACATTACTATGCAGTGCAGGTGAAGCAGTTGAAGGAAAATTACATGTTGCCATTGCAGCAATTAACATAAATTAACTTGGCTTGAATGGCAAGTGAAATGTGCGTGGCTGGCCATATTTGTAAACGGGAGCAGAGCTGAGCAGAGCATAGGAGCGGTAAGTGTAATAGAATAGAGCTAAGCCAACAAAAAGCGAAGAAGGTGGAGTGAAGGGCCATAAATACTTTGGGCGGGAGGAGAGTTTAAGTGCTGAGAAGTTCTAAGGCGCTTAAAAACAAAATACACATGGACTGGCTGAGTGTAGTGTAAGCGAAAATTTTGCCCGGGCTAAGGAAGCTAGCAAACACGAGCCAGCAGTGCGATGGAGTATATTTAGACTGCAGATGGAGACTGCGGAAGCTGCAGTCAGTGCGTTATTTAGTTATTTGCGTCCAAGTTGATGGAGCCATTGGTTGAGTCTTTGGTTTGGCTTGGTGTTGGACCACAACACTCGACGCACATTAAGTAGCAAATCAACAAAGCCATAAACCCTTTTGGAAAATGCCGGCAAATGCCAATAAAATACGCCAACGGCTGGCTGAGAGGATGCAGGCAATATAAGCTTTATTTGGCTATGCAGTATTTTAGCTGGCAGATGACTACTTAGCTAAGACCACAATGGGACGTTCTGGCGCAGCTAAAATGAGGAATACAAAAAAAAACAATGATTATTTCTATTTAATATTCGCCCGAACTGCATAGAGTATAAAGTCCTTAGTAAACTTTGCCCATTACCACTTTGCTCCCAAGCCTTTCTCGGAACGTGTTTGTATATGCAGCAATGCGAAATGTTTACTTCTTATTTTTAAACCTTTGTTTTTTTTGGTTTCGTTTTGTTTTTCCTCCTACTCTGCACACACTGCCATAAACTACATTCTTTAACCCATTTCATTTCCACATGTCACTGATTTGTCGCTGCTCTAGTTGCTGCCGACGAAAGTATAAACAAACAAGTCGACAACACAAGCAAAAATGTCGCTTCTGGTATTAGTTGCGACAGGATTTTAATTGGCAACGAATCGTGGCACAATTTCCAGGAACACAGATACCTTAAAACCACACAGAGACTTTTCAGCAGCAAAGGAATCGAAAAAAAAATCGAAATTAAAAAAAAAAAAAATTAACATCGTCTCAGGGGATGCTTGCTGTCGCCCTTTACCGCGCCTGCGTGGCCTGCATCTTGCGCTTGCGCTTCATACCATAAGCTTTGCTTTGCCAGCAGCTTTGGTTTGACGCTTTGTCACTGCGCCACTTTGCCGTTGTGCACTTTGTCAAAGCGTGGTAGTTTTGCTTTTGTATTTTATTCTTTGGCAGTCGTCGTCTTGGTGGCGCGCCACAACAGCCACGGCAACAGCAACAGCAACAGACAGGAATTGTTAATTTCAGCGCGACCACATTTGGTGCGTGTTGTTTATTTATGTATTTATTAATTGGAATCTTGTGGCGAAACACATGCGTACGAACACATACACACACTCATGCCAGCATTCGTACAACTTGCTTAGGAAATGCGTAGCTATTTGTTTTTTTTTTCACGTCTGCTCCCATTTTTGGTTAGCCGCTTTTTGCTGCTGCTGCTGCTGCTGCTGCTGCTCTGTGCGTGCATTTGTACATACATACGTCTGCTGTTGTGAGTTGGCGTTATTTCGCTTTGGCTATTAGTGACTTATTTAACACACAATTAGCTAAACATGTTTTGTTTGATTTGATACTATAATTTTAGCTATCACTTACAGGTTAGGCTATCTTTAAGATACAATTATACATAGCAAATAGCCTCCTATAAGGCTATAGTTTCCTAAAGTAGCTGCTAAGATAAGGAGCAACTTTAATAAACAAATTTTTTATATTAAACTAATTAAACAGCGTCAGGATTGCTATGGGTTATGGACGTTCTTCTGGCTTTGCACTTCCTGTTGCAGGAGGACCATACTAAATCCCGGCTTTTGCGGCCGCGTTCGCGCACTCTGGGCTCAAATTGCTCCATGTACGAGATACGGCAGCCAACTGCGTGTAGTGCCTTGGGTCACAGTAGACTTATTCGGCTTAAGGGCCCACTGAAGTGAGCAGCGTCTAATCATCTGTATATGAGGTTGCAAGTGGGCGTCAGCCTTGAAGCAACCGGTTCGCTATAAAAATGTGCATATTTTAAAAACCTGCCAGCAATGTTTTGTGCGCCGTGCTTGGAACTCGCCACGTAAAAACAGTGAACAGTAAAAATTTCAAAGAAATCTCGGCATATTGGGCATATACTTTATATGGAGGAAAATGCATAACACCGCCAGCCAAATAAATTATTAAAAATTAACGCGATTTTCTAGCGTCTTGCGGTTTGCAGTTTTGCCTACTAAAATTTAATGGGCTATAAAACTGCATACCCTGAATTTTTCAAAACAATCTAATTGAAAAGTTTGAAATTTTTGGGGGATTTTGATAAAATTTGTTGAATTTTTATAATTTATTAATAATTTTTGTACAAACTTTGAAATGTGGATTTATATGGTGTGTGTTATATATTGCGCTAGAGTTTTATACGAAAACATTAAACATCGAATAAACAAAGTAATATAGCCAAAACTGGTCAAAGTAAAAAGTTTCTATCATTTCTTCCACCACTGTTTCTACGTTCAATGGCACAAAGAAACATTTGGCAATTTTTTAAGCATTTTATTACGCTTATATTGTGTTTAATTAAATATTTTATAATTTATCAGGCTATCATTATCTGAATATAACCACGAAAAACGGCAACAATCTTTTTACGTCAAGTTCGCAGCTTCAGTCTTTCGATTATCCTATGCGCTGCCTTTATTGCATGCAAATACTCATGGAAATGCACATTTGAAATATGAAGTATAAAGGTACAAAAACAAATGCGGCGGGAAACCTATAAATACGGAAGGTATGTATTTTAGTACAAGTGGCCTTCCATACCAAAACGGACGGGGTTCACACTTCATGTGTTTTATTTGTTTCAAATTTTTAGGGTTGATGCAAAAACATAAATACATATTAAATAAATATGAAATTTGAGCTTATCAAATACATTTTTAAAAAATTTGCAGCACAAAAACAAAAGCAAATCGATTTACCTAGTTTTCCACATATCTGGAGAACGGGGCGAGGGAAGAATTAAAAAAAAAAAATACACGTGCATACATACAAATTCTCCACGAAAAGAAATATAAAAAAAAAAATTGTCGGGAAAACTCTTTCACATACAAATTTATTGATAAACAAAATTGTTTTTGAAAATATGCAACCCATAATAAAATGAGAACACTAAATATTTACTAATTTAAAATGGCTTCAAACTTGCCCTTTATCATGCTAGAATTTAATGGGCTACATAACTGCATACTCAAAAAAAAAAAAAAAATAATAATCTAAAAAAAAAAATTAAAAAATGTATAAATTTGTGAGGTTCTCATTTTACTCAAGTTCGGTGTAAAAAAATTCTCAACTCAACCGAGTCGGAAAAGTAGTAATGCATTACATGCGTGATAAATAATATAATGCATTTCTTATGCGTTCTCGATAAAATTACTGCTAACTATGTATTCAGCATTCTAATGTATTCCAAAAGTTCCAAAAACGTCATATTAAAACACATTCATTTCTCGATACTAAGTAATGCAAAATTGAATGCCCCACTTTTCGTTGGACATCGCCTTGGGGAAAAAAATGTTTCTAATGTGAAAAGGGTTGTTTTACTGATTATTTTTCGATTATTATACATTACATTTTCCCATTGGGAAATTATTTTAGAGTACACCCCGTAATATTCAGGGATACCATTGTGATTTAAAAATTTTTTTTTTGAGAAGGCATATTTTCAAAAACTAATTTTTTATCAAAAAATTTGTATGTGAAAAATTTTTCAAGAAAACAAAATTTTAAAAATATTTCTTTTCATAGACAATTTTTATGTCTATATGTATGTTTTATGTGTATGTGTGATTTTTTTCAAATTTTTTCCTCGCCCTGTTGAGATATTTGGAAAACTTAAATTGATTTGTTTTTATTTTTGTGCTGTAAAGTTTTTAAAAATGTATAAATCAACCTCAAATTTC